ATAGGGCCGAGTTGACTCTTTTCCATGTGATCCAGTGGTAGAACAAGCGGTGTTTGTCCTTTAACAAAGCACTTTATCTGCATTTTATTGCTGCCGATGAAGCTGTGACTGGTTCCTGGCAAATTGCATGGAAAAAAGTTTTAAAAGGTCTTCAGTGTAGATCTACCTGTTTTTTTTGTGTATATACTGATCGATATTTAAAGCCACAACCAGGTATGTATATTAACGGTATCGGCAACTCTATATATTTAATCGATAAAGGTAAATATATGCTGTTGTGACAGATAATTCAGCCGGACTGTCGATCATTATTGATTCTTATCAGTGTCACGGCGTAGGCGAGATAATTTTTGACTTTGGTAAATAAATGTCTCATTATATGTTTTTTGTTTGTTTTTTTTTTTTTTTTTGGGGGGGGGGGGGTATATTCTTTTTAAAAGTAACCCATAATAAAATGCTGAAAAAGAAGTTTTCAAATCTATATTTTGTAAATCAATGTACTTACTATAAAGAAAATTATGACGAGTTAAACACAGGAAAAAAAACTTTTTATCTCTCTCCAGACTGTCAGAACTGGTTTAAAAGATTTCACCTCTCCGTACATTCTAAGGTTTGTTTCATCAGTTGTCCAAATTTTGCAATATTTTTACCAAAAGATAGTACAGAAACTGATCTTTTGAAATGTGTTATTATTACTTAAATAAATAAAATATTTGCAGATTTGCTGCGAATAAAAACACAAATAATTCAAGAGACAAAATTGCGCCATGCAGTAAGAATATAAGCAATGAATATCACGGATATAATATTTCGTCACTTTTTTGGCCGAAACTGTAAGAAAATATTCATACAAACATTCATACTGCATATCTATTTTTCTTCAATTATCAACCAAAAAATAAAAACCAAATGCCAGAACTATTTTAATAAAAACAGCATTGAAGAAACCGGGACAGGTATTGTGTTGAAACTGGACTACTGATCATGCTGATAGTATGCTTGGTTTCAAGAACATTCCTGTTGCAGAAAGTTTCTTTTCATTGAATGTCATTGCTGTTCAGCGACGGGATAATGCAATAAATTTAAGTAATGTGTAATGCCCTATAATGCATTGTTCTGTTGTTGGCCAGACCCTCTTATGCAGTCTAAACGGATATCAAATTTAGGAAAAGCATTTAATTTATTACTGGAGAATTGCATAATTAAGATGTGTTCATGCTGAAAGGAAAGAAAATTGACAAATTTCTGGCAACATGTTGCAAATTCACTCAAAGATTTCTGAAACTTTAAACAAAACTAAGTCTCTTTTTCCTTATATTAAAACTACCATTCTCAGTGTATATTTGGTGAGGTTTTAATCTGATATCTATACAAGCAATTATCATAGTATTGCAAGCAATCCATAAGTCCCCTACCGGTAAGAGCCCAAGCAACATTCTGAAGGGCCATTGGCCATTCACTTAGGTTCCTATTTTAAGTAAATTTGTTATTTAAAAGTGATCACAGGAAACAGTTTTTATGTACAGACAGACGGACTGAAGGACACTCTAAATTTATTTTTTAAACATCCCTGTTATCAAAATATAACATTTTTAAAATCCTATCATGATTGAAGAAGTTGGAGTAAAAATTACCAATTTCTCAAAAAAAGTCTAAGTTCAAAAGGGGCATAATTCTTGAAATAGTCTTGCTAGAGTATTGAACACTCACAAATGTTGAGTGATAATAAGAAACATTTATATGAAGTTTGAAGTAGATACATTCAGAAAAAGAAGTTTTAAAAAAAACAATGTTTTTTTTCATGAAAATTTTAAGTTCAAGGAAGGTAATTCTGAAAAATTTTGTGCTAGAGTTGTAAACCTTGTCACATATGATGTGGTTGATGACAAGCAATTTATATTTAAAGTTTGAAGAAAATACCTTAAGAAATAAAGAACTTATAGTGAAAAAACTTAAAAACTAGAATCAGAAATCTTGAAATTCAGTCTATTTGTTGCCATAGCAACAAGAATTTTCAACATAGGAAGATAAGAAAAGAATGTGCATAATTTCTTTACCGCCATCTACCCATATGTCAAGTTTCATAAACATATTTTCAGTACTTTTTGTGTTATCACTGGATCCAGGTTATGTGTAAAATTTGCCATATTTTCAGTCTATTTGTTGCCATAGCAACCAGAATTTTCAACATAGGAAGGAAAGAAAAAGACGTGCATAATCTCCATACTGCCATCTATCCATATATCAAGTTTCATAAAAATATTTTCAGTACTTTTTGCGTTATCACGGGATCCAGGTTATGTGTAAAATTTGCCATATTTTCAGTCTATTTGTTGCCATAGCAACCAGAATTTTTAACATAGGAAGAAAAAAAAAAAGACGTGCATAATCTCCATACTGCCATCTATCCATATATCAAGTTTCATTAAAATATTTTCAGTACTTTTTGCGTTATCGCGGGATCCAGTTTTGTGGACGGACGGACTGACGGACGGACAGACGGACTGACGGACAGACAGACAGACGGACGGAGGTTAAACCTAAAGTCCCCTCCGGTAAACCGGTAGGGGACTAAAAACATAACACATGTTCATTTGACAACATATTTCAAAATCTCAAAGAGATTTATAAATTAAAAAAAAACATCTATCATTGATGGACATTGTGACTTTCAGTTACAAATTATACTTCTGATATAACAGATACTATATTTTTTTATAACTTCACTAATAGGTTATATATATAAATACATTTATAAATAAAAGTACTGTCAAAAAAGTGTGTAAAGTAACATGTAATTTAAAGCACCAATTAAGTTGTAATGGTAATTTAATTATTACATTTTGAAATGTAATTGACCCATCCCTGATGCTCAAATAAGTAACTTCAAATACAGTACAGTACACTACAGCACATATCATAGCTCAGCTCAGCTCAAATTAACAAAATACAATACAATTAAGCTTGAGTCTGCATGAAAATAACAAAATCAACATATTTTAAAGCTCTGAAACCATCTACTGTACATTTGTGTATGATTGTACTGAACATAATAGGTATAAAAAACAACAAAGAGTTATAAAAGCTACTTTAAAGATACATAACTCATGCAACACAAATAAAGCTGTGTGTTAGTTGCTGATGTAGACATCATTTTTCCTCGGAAGTCTAAACTGCATTAGAAGCGCTGTAAATAATAAACTGAAAATAAACAAGCAATTATCATAGTATTGCAAGCAATCCATAAGTCCCCTACCGGTAAGAGCCCAAGCAACATTCTGAAGGGCCATTGGCCATTCACTTAGGTTCCTATTTTAAGTAAATTTGTTGAAAAAGTTCTTTAAAAGTGATCACAGGAAACAGTTTTTATGTACAGACAGACGGACTGAAGGACACTCTAAAGTTATTTTTTAAACAAGCCCTGTTATCAAAACATAACATTTTTAAAATCCTATCATGATTGAAGAAGTTGGAGTAAAAATTACCAATTTCTCAAAAAAAAGTCTAAGTTCAAAAGGGGCATAATTCTGGAAATAGTCTTGCTAGAGTATTGAACACTCACAAATGTTGATTGACAATAAGAAACATTTATATGAAGTTTGAAGTAGATACATTCAGAAAAAGAAGTTATTAAAAAAAAAAAATGTTTTTTTTCATGAAAATTTTAAGTTCAAGGGAGGTAATTCTGATAAATTTTGTGCTAGAGTTGTAAACCTTGTCACATATGATGTGGTTGATGACAAGCAACTTATATTTAAAGTTTGAAGAAAATACCTTAAGAAATAAAGAACTTATAGTGAAAAAACTTAAAAACTAGAATCAGAAATCTTGAAATTCAGTCTATTTGTTGCCATAGCAACCAGAATTTTCAACATAGGAAGATAAAAAAGGATGTGCATAATTTCCATACTTCCATCTACCCATATGTCAAGTTTCATAAACATATTTTCAGTCCTTTTTGTGTTATCACTGGATCCAGGTTATGTGTTAAATTTGCCATATTTTCAGTCTATTTGTTGCCATAGCAACCAGAATTTTCAACATAGGAAGAAAAGAAAAAGACGTCCATAATCTCCATACTGCCATCTATCCATATATCAAGTTTCATAAAAATATTTTCAGTACTTTTTGCTTTATCGCGGGATCCAGGTTATGTGTAAAATTTGCCATATTTTCAGTCTATTTGTTGCCATAGCAACCAGAATTTTCAACATAGGAAGAAAAGAAAAAGACTTGCATAATCTCCATACTGCCATCTATCCATATATCAAGTTTCATTAGAATATTTTCAGAACTTTTTGCGTTATCGCGGGATCCAGTTTTGTGGACGGACGGACTGACGGACGGACAGACGGACGGAGGGTAAACCTAAAGTCCCCTCTGGTAAACCGGTAGGGGACTAAAAAGCACAGAGTGCATAATCAGAGACAAGCTATTGAAACAAGATAATCTTTGCAAGCCAAATTTTATGGAAATTATCATCTGGTCCCTCATGCAATATAGCAATACATTCGGATGCTAGTCGTGTAGGGTACACATGTTGATGTACAGTATTTTTGATTTTGGATTATAAAGATTATGTGAATGCTTTACATCATTTTTATTTTATAAATTACAGATTGATGCAGATGCCATTCTCAGCATGAATGACCAGAGACAGGGTGGCAACGGTTGCATTTTGCAAGGGTTTAAAGAATACAGATCACAGGACTGAGAATACTCTGGATAGAATAAGACAGAAAAACCTCCTCTCAAAGAAGTGTTCAAAACTACAAGGCAATAAGCATGCAAAAAAGACACAAAGAAGGGTTGAGGTGGGTATAAAACAGTATGACTTTTTTACTTAAACTTACAAACAGGTTCGGAGTCAGTGTGGTGGGGGCATTCGCCATTTATCTGTCACCGTGGATTCGAAGTTATTAGAAATTTTACAGTATGGTAAAGACCTCTTCTTCCCAGATGGACACAACTGCTTTGGCAGTCTTGATGAATTTGAAGTATCTTTATATGATTTTCAAGGACATCCTGCAAAGTTAGATCAAACATTGGCTGAATGCTATGATGAATTCAAATTGAAACTTCTCAGGGTGTATGTTTATACAAAGAAGGTCAGTATTTTATCTGTAAACTAGATATTGTTAAGATCAATGGCCGGATCCGCATTTTCAAGCTGAAAATTACAAGCCCCTCCTGTCATTGAATTTTGCGTAATATGAAGTCTTGTTAAAAGGAACGGGTTATTGAAAATTTCTGGTAGTGTTGCATTTAGCTTTCACCGGTCACTAGACTGATACACAAAGTTCTGTAAATATGTCTGAATTTTCTGTGATATTTACAAATTTGTATATGGATATAAAAAAGAAAAATCTGTGTCAGAAAAAAGTCATAAAAAAAACAACACAGCCCATGAGATAATTAATTTGATTTATTTAACAACCGATCAACCTTATTTCAACATTGGCCAACAATATTTCAACCACCTTTAACACTGTTTAAGTAACATTATCATTTTTGAAGGGTTAAGAACTAACCTTCAACGTTAAATAAATGTTGATGTAACGTTGAATCAACGTTGAAATCAACTCCCATTTTCAACCTATTTCAACCATATTTTAACGTTGAATAAACGTTGATGTGCATGCTGGGGAGAGGCTCTTTCTGTCATGTTTCGTGGTGGTGCATGTAAGTAAATAATGTACATGTTATATTTTCTCTGAAATCATGCATTTATTATAGAACAAGAGTTGTTCGACTCTAACACTCGTCTGTTTAAAGGTCATTCAAAGGCCAAGGTCAAAGGTCAGTGCATGTTTGAAAAGGCCTTGTCCCAAGCAACCATGTGTGTGAATATGAAAGCTATCCATCAAGTAATAAGAAAGTTATAAGCCACATAAAAGTTTTTGCACGACACTGCCACTGACGCCGATGAAGACGACTCACTGATCTCAATAGCTCGACTTTTTCTTCGAAACAAAAAAGCTAATAATGATTCTTCAAAATGCACTTTCCATGTGCACTAGTCATTTGTAACCACTGCCCCCCAACCCCGTAGCATAGCGTTGGTTTTTACTATGAGCTTTGCAAATGCCTGGTAAAGCTCTCGCAGGATAGATATTTTCAAGAGGTTAAAAAGCCGCTAAATGCCCCGCCATGCAAGAACAAATATTTGCCCCGGTGTTTTCAAAATTAGGACTTTTAGATATACTCACTAACTAAATAATAAAACAAGATAAACTTTAAGATTAACATAAGCATGTTCTGAAATTATATTGTTGTCATTGTCGTTTTCATCTTTGTCTGAATCCTACATATATCCAAAAATAGCTTGGACAAAAAAAGTATGGCACTTGCACAGAAACAAAACAATAATGGTTACCGGTTCAGATAAAACCTGAAGTTAATTAACAAAGAAAGCCGAGAAACAAAGTCGGATGATATGTCATTTGCAAGTGCACGGTAACCTTGCCGCCGACTTCAAATAAATCTTATCTTATATCACTTTATTTTTTATAGGCGACAATGTTCGATAGGATTGAAGGATTGTCAGACATTTTTCTTTCCTGTCGGGCGGGTTAAAATAATTATTTGTATCGCCCGATATATTTTTAACTCGCCATGGTGATCGGGCGAGTGCTAATTTCAAAGACTGCAAACCACCATGGCAAGTTTTTGTTTTTGAAGAGCAGTTGCATTAAGCGGTGTTTTTACTTCCACGAAGCCCTCACAGGCAGGTCAGAGACTTTACCTAGGGTTTGCGGAGCTCAAAGTTAAAATAACTGCTATTCTCAGGTGGTGGGGGCAGTGGTTTCAAATTGCTAGTGCATTAGAATAAAGATAAACAGAATATATATTATATAATATAATTATATAAAAGCATGCACTTATTTAAAATCTAACTTCATTAATTACTCATTTTGAAATATAAGTGGTTTATGACATTTCATTGCTTTCCGGTGATTTTATGGAGCGACCAGAATTGGGGACGAATTGTTACTACGAAGTGTTCAACCTCGTTTTGCAGATTCTAAACAACAACACGTTGCAATTATTAAGTTTTTGTTGAAACAGATAGTGTACTTTTTTTAGCAAGTGATAATTGCCAGTATTTAATTATTTTACATTACCAATTGTCGTTGTTTCTTGACAATTAATTTCACCGGAACCGATTTTAGCCATTATGAAATCATAATCAGCGAACAATGCGACGTGCTTATTGATTGGATGAAAAATGCACAAATTACAAATTCATGATAATTTTAACCAATCAACGACCGTTTTATATTTAGTTACTTCCACATTGCAGGCATGCTTGTTTCTACTGAAAATAACCTGTCACGTGGTCAACTAGACGTGACATCTATTTAAAGATTGGAAATTTACTGATTAACATCGACAAATATTGTTTATAGGGGCATGAATTTATTTAAATAGAGACAATAAATACTATTTTGACAATATTGCTCCGAATCCCGTATCTCTTATGAGTTATGATACGTTGTACCAGTTGTATATAAATTTTCATTGAGCTAAGCGACATGTTACTTTTTGAAGTAAGCGGTTTACCAAAGTTTAAAGCGCGCAAAAATTGGAGAGATATGGCTGTTGCACCACGATGTTTTCTGATTCAGTGGGAGTGTAAATTGATGTCAGTGATAGAGTGTAAAAGCATAGTAAGTCCTTTAAAAAAGGCCACTTAATACAAAGAGGGAGAGATGATCAAGGCCGAGTTTGCGAAGAAAGTATAATTATGAAGTTGTTATCTGCGTTATCAGCAGTAAGAGTTTGGAGTTTTTCCATTTTCATTTTGCACAATTATTCTTTGTATAGAGCATTAATACTAAAAACCTCATGAACTAATGACACGAAACCTTATATGTAGACTGAGGTCTCTGCAGAAGTGCACTGTGAAGGAACTGTAATTTGCTTTTTGCTAGCGATGCCAAATTGGAGTAACCTCCCCTGTTATACCTCAATCATGAATATTCATACTGGTCAAAATGTAACCTCATCTTAGGTCCTTTTTATTACACTCCAAAAATTACAATGTTCATCATTTGCAGGGTACTGAATGGTTATTTTTAGTTAGATAGATGATGAAAACATACAAGGGAGGGACCCCCCCCCCCCCCAAAAAAAAAAAAATGGCACAAAATGAAAATAACAAGAAATAATCTTTTCTCAAAAATAGAAATTCCAAAAATAAAATAGAATTTTGATAACGCAAGACATTTTGGCATGTTTTTCTTCCTTAGAGTATTATCTGAAAGAACACGCCTCCTTTACAAGCAACAATAGTCGGTATATGGCTGCTTGAAATTTTATTATTTTTTACTTGACCTCGTTTCAGGCTCATCGTATCCACTTTATTTTCAAGTCATTTATTCATAATATTTATTATTTTGGCTACTAATTAATAAAAAAAAGCTTTAATATGATAAAATGTCTATTTTAAAGAATTTGCCAGTATTTTGATGTAATACAAGAGATAATTTCCTTAAAGTTAAGAATTGATTTGTACTCAAACTGTTTCGTACCAAAATCTTTCCTTAAATTCGTCAATTTTTAAGATCACTGTCACCAATTGCTTGCTTTAAAATATTTTTCTCATGCAATAAATGAATATTTACAGGTTGATTTAGTATTGTATGACATTTCTTCTGAAAATCTAAACAAAAACTATAAGTTTTCATTATTTAGTATGTGACCTGTCAACTGAAAATTTAAAAAACAAAACAAACAAATTTATCATCTGTTCAGCTCTTTAAGTGGTACATAATCTGCTCATAAGTGATACAAAAATATCAAAAACTTATGTATGTAGGCATGAAGTTTGAAGTTGATATCTCATATAGTTTTCGAGATATGGCCCAAGAAAAAATAAAAGTATAAGAAAATCAAAGGGCAAGTACTCAAAAATTATGGAAGGAGGAGTTATAATTCTTGTGCATTGCTCTTTTACTCATTGAGACGTATCCACATACGAAGTTTCAAGTTGATATCTCATATAGATTTCGAGAAATGGCCAATGTTTAAGTTTCGACACACAGACAGACGGACCCGGATGGGACAAAAACAATATGCCCCACGATCTTTGATCCGGGGGCATAAAACATGGCTTGGCATCGCTTCTTTTGCATGATGGCATAATGATTATTTATTATTATTGGCATTCATAATTTCTATTTCATTTTGAGAAATATGGATATAATGAGGCAGTGGAGACGTCACGGTTCTCGCAATCTAAATGAAATCGATTGAAATAATTTTTCAAATCTTCGAGTTCACTGGGGGGGGGGAGGGGGGGGTCTCAACTTGTCCTCTATAGTTTATTAAAGCAGTTAAATAATTAAACATAATGTCTTACCTTTTTGCAGCTGCCAAGAAACTCCTCGTTAGCAATGCCAAGTTGCCACTAAAGTACCATTTTGATGATGCCAACGTTTTAAAGGTAATTTAGTCAACTTAAGAAGTGTCCATCGTGTTGTACCTGCGAAATTTCTAGAATGCTCCTTGATATACTATTAATAACGGACTCTGTTTACACAGTGATAAGCAAAAATACTAAAGAAATCACATGTAAAAATGATCCATTTAGCAATAAGTTTCCGTAATGAAATTCAATCTGACCCTGAACGTATATTGGAGGCATTCTAACATTAAAGCAGTTATCAACAAGTGAAAAAGTAAATTAAATAAATAATGGATTGTGCCATATTGAGATAAAACCTTACTGGATACAATATGTCAGTTGTTCAATACAATAACACATGTTGTATTTCAATTTTCAGTGCACTAGTCTATGCATCTATTAGTATGTTATATTAAAATCCTTACACAAAGTATTTAATTGCCATTTATTTCTGAATTTTAGAATCTGATGCTGTTTGTAAAGCTGAAAACAAGGTGTTCACACTGACTAAACCTGTACAGTCAAAGGCTAAAGTTAAGAGAGTTTCTGTATTCTTATGTATTCTATTCTATTAAGTAACAAACATAATGCATGCTTGAGAGTTCAGTGCGTATGAATAATTCACAAACGCTGAGTGTGTTGTTATAAGCACCGAACGAGCAACTGTGCATTATTATACAATAGATCACAAAATATTTGGCTGTAATGTATTTTTCAAAAAGGAAAGAAGTTGGCAGTTTTCAAATTGGTTAAATTAAAAAAAATAATTGTATAATTGTATGAATGAAAACAAACATCAAGAAACTAACATTTAAAGAACGCCTTACAATATGTTACTACCAAATAAAAAAAAGTTAAAATATAATAACCTAAATAAAAAAAGATAATTCATAGATAAACATGAAACATTTTGTAATCTTAAAATGGTAAGAGTTTGTTTATTTCAGTAGCTGATTTTTCTCCAGCTGACAAGGGGCCAATGTTAGGTTCCAGTGACCTGGTGCCAACGCAAGGTTCCAATGACCAGGTGCCAACGCTAGGTTCCAATGATCAGGTGCCAAGGCCAGGTTCCAATGACAAGGTGCCAACACTAGGTTCCAATGACCAGGTGCCAACGCTAGGATCCAAGTCAAGTGGTAGAGTTTCAATTTTTTTAAAAAGTTAAAACAGAACCGAGACAAACTGGAAAGTGCATCAGTTAAGGGTTTCATGCTTGACTTTGAGCACGGTATGTATATATCAGTTGTACTCTTCATTATTTACTATATCAAGTTCATCTTTTCATACTTCATAATTTACATAAAAAATAATGATTTAAATGGCATAAACTATCAAATAAACAAGACCTAGGTTGAAAACCGCTTTCATATAATTCTTGATTAAGCATATTTTTTGTATTTGTATTGCATGTTAATTTTACAATTTAGCGGCATGGAATGCAGTCCGAAAAGAATTTGGTCAGGATGTAGATAAAAAGGGGTGTCTTCCACTAGTGTCAGGCAGTTTGGGGTCAGGATCGGGCCAATGGGTTCTCCACCACTTACAATGCAAGGAAGAATGTAAGAGAATAAGTCATACGTGGCTTCTTATTTAAACTAGATATGTATTTCCTATTAATAAAATAAGTGTAAAATGATACGTACACTGAACTTAACATCCAGTCCCGATGAATTTATCATTGTTTGTGTTACCTAATCACAATGAACATGTATGTTTCTGCTTACTTGATAAAGAAATGAAATATTTATATAGTACGTTTTAGTTATTGAATATTTACTTTTTTAGACTCACAAGTTTTTGCGTCAGCTGATGGCACTTCCCTTCTTTCCAGTCAACCATATAGTGCCAACATGGACGCAGGGACGATCCACAAAAACACAGATTGTAGCGTTCTGTAGCTACCTTGAACGTCAATGGATTGGGAATCCCTCATTCCCAGTGAGTTCGTGGTGTGTATTCCGCCAGCCGGTACGGACGAATAATGATGTAGAAGGTAATGACAATATTTTTGGTAAAAGTTTATAAGTTATTTGATTAAATGAAGAGTTAATGAAGTCTGCTTTAGTAGCCAAAATACTGGTATATACCACTACTTCTCATATCCATGGACAAAAGCCATTGTTTAGTTCATAAAGAAATTATTTACCATTACAAGAGCTGTCGGTAGGACAGCACGCTCGACTATTCTAAGTGCTTGATAGTAAAAGAGCATTGATAATGTTAAATTTTTGAAGTTCAAAAAGGGCTAATTTTTTTTTATAAATTCATGTTATAGGCCTTAGAGAGAGTCTAATTATACAGTATTGGCTTGACTATTCGGAAGGTAATGTCACGAGGGTGTTTTATTGAGTACAATAATACTAATTACCTATGAATACATAAATTTGACAGAAAAGGTACAAAGGCTTGTTATTAAGATGTTTTATCAAGTAAATAACTGCTTTATTATTATGAATGCATAAAATTGTCCCAAAAAAGGCACAAACCCTTCAGTAGTTATTGAGATAACAGCTTACAAACAAAAACTTTACCATGAATTTATCATGAAGTTGAAAAAGGGGAGAAAAATCAGCCTTAATGCAAGATATAATTACGGATCTTGGTCAGTGACAAACAATTATGACCCTTAATGTATATGTGAAGTTTTAAATAAATATCTTTGATAGTTTTTGAGATATGTAAAACCTGCATGTAAACAAAAACCAAGAGACTAAGTAGAAAAGGGGGTATGAATCAGCCTTAATGCAAGATAGAGTTATGGAACTTGGTCAGTGACATACAATTATGACCCTCCAATTATGACCCTAAGTGCATGTGTAAAGTTTCAAGTAAATATATTTGAAGACCTTTAACCTTTAACCAAAATTTCTAAGTTTCAAAGGGGCAAATAATTCTGCAAATATTGCAGGCAGAGTTATGCAATTTTGCAAACTGATGTACATTGTTACTATATAAAAAAGTATTTTAAATTTCAATTGAATATCTCAAGCAATAATTGAGATATTTGACTTTACAAAAAACTTTAACCAAAATTTCTAAGTTAAAAAGGGGCATAATTCTGTCAATATTGTAGGCAGAGTTATCCAGCTTGTCAATCTGATGTACATTGTTACTATAAATAAGTATTGTAAGTTTCAAATGAATATCTCAAGTAATAATTGAGATATTTGACTTTACAAAAAACTTTAACCAAAATTTCTAAGTTAAAAAGGGGCATAATTCTGTCAATATTGTAGGCAGAGTTATCCAACTTGTCAATCTGATGTACATTGTTACTATAAATAAGTATTGTAAGTTTCAAATGAATATCTCAAGTAATAATTGAGATATTTGACTTTACAAAAAACTTTAACCAAAATTTCTAAGTTAAAAAGGGGCATAATTCTGTCAATATTGTAGGCAGAGTTATCCAACTTGTCAATCTGATGTACCTTGTAACTATAAATAAGTATTGTAAGTTTCAATTGAATATCTCAAGTAATAATTGAGATATTTGACTTTACAAAAAACTTTAACCAACGCAGACGCCGACGCGGACGCTGACGCCGGGGCGACTACAATAGCTCTCATATTCTTCGAATAGTCGAGCTAAAAATGCATTATATCTATTTGTATAAGAATTACGATTCGTATAACTAAATGCAAATTTATCAATTATTTCTAATTTAAGATGTAATTACACATTTGTTATGTCCTTCCACTGGCTGGCATCATCGTATCAACAGGAAGGCAGGTGGATGTTCGATGTCCTTCTACAGGCTAGTTCCACTTCAGCGTAGGGAAGCATAGACCGTTGGTCAGACACTACGAACAGGAGTTCTGAACAGGGCCAGATCTGTATGTACAACTAGAATGGAGCGAATCATTCAAGACTTTTGGGAAAGATATCAAGACTCAGAACTTTCAACAACAGCATTTTTGAAAGCTTGTTCTGCATTGTACGGACCGTCGACTTAGAGTGATTTTGTGAAATGACGAGGATGTAGTTTGTGGTGCTGTAGGTGGTGCTGTCAATGACGGCGTCGACTTTGTTTTGTAAAAAATATATGTTTTGTTACGTAAAAATATACATATTGTTTTTTTTTTGTTTTGTTTAAATCTTGGATTATTTAAAATACTAGATTTTTGTTTTGTTTTGTCTTGCTTTAATCATATTTGTCTGTACAGGTAGTCATTAAACGTTTAATGTCATAGTAGAAGTATTGTACATATATTGTTGTTGTTGATAATGATTATTTCATGTTGAGGTAACTATTTTGTATTTTCGTGTAAATAAAATATGTTATTGATTAATACATGTACTAGTTTATCCTGATTTTGTCTTGTTCTGCCTCTTCACTTGTTGTAACAATAAATGTAATATAAAGCACTGTTTTCTCTTTGTTATACTTATAAACTCTCTCTGTCTCCACCAATTAACACATTTTCATCAATAAAACTTTTAAATATCCGTTAGAAAAAACTTTTTTAACGTAAAGAATATTATATATTGAAACAAATGATGAACACAATATATAACGTTATTATCACCAATATAATATTCATTAAACAATATTCTTTACCTTTTCCTAATGCGTATTTAACTAAAATATAATTATGGGATATTAATTATGATATAATACACCAATTGACAGCCTCTATATGAACTACGTAAATAACCAAGGTATATCGAGTGAAAAAAAAACAAGAGTTGTTTCCCTTAGCTTCGAGTAAAATCAATATCTCAAATGCAAAAGAATGCAAATTTAGCCGTGTTTAAACCGCTAGTTTGGGGTGATTTTAATGTCCGATTTTAAAATTTATTTCACCAATGAAAAGCTTGTGATCTTAGCTTCGTCTCATTGTTTGACACTGAAGGTATTTAAATTAATAAATTTACGGTTAAACCTTCTACAAGTCAGACCATTTTACATATGTTTTATACAGTGAGATACGCAATCGGTTATCTTTACTCACAATTCTACTGATAAGAAAAGCCTGTCGTCTGCTAGTTTGGAAACTGTCAATCCGTGTATTATAAATAATTACAATAAATAGTGATAACACAACCTAAATATAATAAATTGAACAAGAGCCACCGCCGGGCGGGGGCAACGCTCGACTTTTTACTTTTTCTAAAAGCAAACATAGAAAGGTTTGAACATATCTTAACGTTTCCGTTTTATAAATTTAGTTGGTCTGTCTTGTCACATGAATAGAAACACGCAATTCTATAAATAGAAACACGCAATCCAATAAATAGAAACACGCAATTCCATAAATAGTAACACACAATTCTATAAATAGTAACATGCAATTCTATAAATAGAAACACGCAATTCTATGAATAGTAACACGCAATTCTATAAATAGCACAATTCTATAAAAAGCAACACGCAATTCTATAGACGTGTTATTTGCCAAATTCAATATTTTTAAAAATGTGTATTTTCATTTGTCATATTAAGTGTAATGCTTGGTTTTATAGGATGTAAACATTGAAAGAAGCTTTTGAGCGACCAGACAACTCAAATGTAACAGTGGTAATAAAGGTTATTAAATGCACAGAAAACTGCCAGGAACCCAGTAACAAAAAGAAATTCTTTGAAGCTGTCATTGCTGACAAAACTGGAAGTGCAACCAAGAAGCTGAACATGAAAAAATTGTAAAAGAAAACCCAAACTTCTTGCTGCAAGATATAATAAAGAAACCCGATTCAATTATTTTCACTGTAAGAAGCAAGGCCCATTACTGTGCTCCAGTTGCTATAAATGTAAACCCCAATTCATTGTGTACAGCAGTTAAAGCTGGAAGATTCACAAGAAGATGTAAGTTGTGACCAACTGAAACAGAAATTAAAAGACAGCATTGTTAAATTCAACATTTGTGATATGTAGACAAGGTTTTAATTTACAATTTCCTAAATTGTCCAACGATCTTTACTTTTATTTGTAGCCAGCATTTAAATGCTAACACAGGTACACTAGAAGATTAAAATTTCTTCACACTACTTACATATTTTAAATTTAATTGGATTTTAACGAATACGTTAGGAATGGCAAACATTGCACTGCAAGAAAATTATGAACAAAGAGTGACAGTAACTCACCACCAGATGCCTCATCCAGATTGGAAAGGTTTTCATACACAAGAGCGAAGAATTATGAAAAACAAAGACAAGGAAAGCTTGTCAGGAAAGTCAGGAAATTAATTGTCAAAATAAACAAAAACCTGGAAGAGGTAAAAGTACGTGGAGTACGAGGAACTCGTAAAACAGCAATCAATCTTGATAAAAACTTGGGCACATATGGACTTTAAACATTTAAATGAATTTGACTGAATAAAGGTGGTTGGTTGGTTATTAATTAATTTATATACAATATATACTGAAACAAAAAAGAAACTTTCTCCAAGTTTGAATGTAGATATGTTAGTACAGTTTTTCAATCCTTTTGAAACTCGATTTTAATGTTGAATAAACATATCGGGCTTTTACACGGGGATTAGTTGACCGATTTTGCAAACAAAACGAGTTTTACAAGCTACCACATGTATATAAGTGTGTACATCTAAGTGGTACCCTTGAACAACTGGCACATACTTTGCGAAAGTTTCTTTTTTGTTTCAGTATATGTTTAAATTTGTTTAATACATTTAAAACTATTTAAACTTGAATGCAGCTCTACCTTGTTGATCTTTTTTCTTATTGAATGTTGTGAAAATGTTTGCAGGTCATCATGTCTATTGTATTACAGAACAAATCAGATCTGGATTCTTGTACAATATACGGTTAAGAGGACGTGTAAAGATGATTGCTCCTCCTTGTATCTATGTTTTTTCAAATGCTATGCCCGACCTCAGCTATATAAATGGTCACCGTTATCACTATTTTAAAGCCACAAAATGTGAAAAATACAAAGTTAATACAGGATACGGTCAGTTACAGGCTATATTTTAAAGCCCAGTCATCAAACAAGGTATGTGGGCAATACACCAATGACATCTTATTTACATTGGCCTGACTTCAGTGTTTTTATATTTTTCTGGTCCTTCGGGATCATAGATGCTAGCACTATTAAGAGTACCGCACAGCCGGTGCTAGGGGCCGTGAAGGATGTGGTACTTATTCATTATCCGTCATGTACAGACTCAATCAAACCGAGTCTGCAATTTTCATGTAATTTTGTTGTGATAAATGCTTCCGAGGGATCACTTTGTTTCCAGATTTTCAGCATCATACCCTGCAACAGACAATTTTAGACTTTGACCTGCAAGTATGACCTTGACTTTTAAGGTAGGGGTCTAGGTGTTGCGCATGACATGTTGTCTTATTATTGTTAATGTCTGTGCCTAGTTATTTTAAAATCCCTTTATTGATGAAAAAGTTGTCTACCGCACACAAAATATACCCAAGAATAGACTATGTTAAGCTATATCCCCTTTTTTCTTCGAAACGGCTATGGACAATAAAAATTAACTAAAATCAAAGCCACTATATCAACAAATTTTCTGCAAAAAAACAACAGAAATACAACTTTTAAAATAAATGCTCTTTATCAACAAATTCTCTGCAAGGAAATTATAAAAGAATGCAAGCTATAACATATTATCTTATAGACGTGTTATATGACAAATTCGATACATGTATTTTTAAAACATGAGTATTTTAATTTGTCATATTAAGTGTAATGCTTGCTTTATAGGAGGTTAACATTGGAAGAAGCTATTTGGCTACCAGATAACTCAAATGTAACAGTGGAAGTAAAGGTTATTGAATGCACAGAAAACAGCCAGGAAACCAGTAACAAAAAGAAATTCTTTGAAGCTGTCATTGCTGACAAAACTTGAAGTGCAACCATTAAGGTATTTAAAGAAACTTAACACGCAAAAAAATGTAAAGAATACCCAAAACTGTTGCTGCAAGACAAAATAAAGAAACCTGATTCCATTATTTTTACTGTAAGAAGCAAGGTTCATTAATGTGCTCCATTTTCTATGAATGTAAACCCCAAAATCCCTTGAAAAATGAAACAGGAGTTGCGCACAGAAGAAATTGTTTACAATATGTTCTATATAAGGAAAAACACAAAATATCCGTTTTGGGACATCACCAGTTGCAGAACAGTTCATACATATACAAACTGGCACAACTTTGTACAGATGATCAATATACTTGTTACATTGTTCTACGGTCATAAATGTCGCCCAGAAATCAATCTATTATAACAGTGAAAAGTCTTTCTTTTGTTCAGTTTTTTTTAACCACGTGTTGTTTGAGCTGATT